GAGCTCTGTCGGACAGGCTTCAAAAGGAACGTTGCAGGAAGACCATCGCCTGCAACGCTAGTTTAACTGCTATAATGTACCCGCATGCGGCTCTTCAAAGGGACCGCTTCGTGACGTTATTTATTCAGGACCACCGTCTCGTGTTCAGGTTCATTGCGGCTCGGTAAATATCGAATCTTTGCTTATCGAATTCGAAACAAATTGCTCTTCTTGTTATTTTGGGCGCCCCCGTCCTCGGGCAATGATGAACGTGTTGATTTTTTTTAAAAAATTTACAAATGAATTTGAATTCACCCCCAAAAGAAAACGGAATCCAATGGAAAGCACAGATGGCTTTTTTCACAGCCGTCTGGTGACCAACACAGTGTGTGTCGGTGCATGCGTCACGTTTTTACGTCGATTCGCAAATACATCGTCACTTTATTAATGCCACGACCCGATTTTCGTTGCCTCAACCCACACCGACGTCGCCGATAGCATCCGTGCATTCTTGTATCCGTCGAATCAGCCTTCGCCTTCATCTACCCTGTCAATCGTCTTGATTTGAGTCGTGTCGATGTACGTCCAGGAACGCATTCCCTCCCCAACCCTTCCCTTTATACAAAGATCCCCCACATAGCCTTAACAGACTGTAGGGCAAGTGCTGTTAGCGAGCACCTTTGAAGGTCGGCACGGTACACGAGGGGGTGGGTGGCCAGCACCACACCCGGCCGCCTTTGTCTGCCCAGTGGCGATGTTGACTACACACCGCACCAGGTACTCATTTGAGGCGGAGTCGACCTAGGGGAAGCCCAGGACCGGTTCAGATAATTATCACCTGGTGTTGGTGGCCCCGAACAGGAATCGAACTCGGGATGTCGGGTTCGTAGCGCAGCGCGCTAACCGCTACACAACCGCTCCCCACTTATACAGAAAAATACACAAACACAATCCCCAACCCTCGCTGCTGGGAAAATGGTCTCACTCTTTTAATATATTTATTTTCCCGTGGACTCTTACGCAAAGTAAATTGCTGCGCGATTCCAACAAGCACCGTCTTTGACATTCCGTATCTGACTTTATTTATTTCGAGTCACATTTTGTACAATTTGCAAAAGCACTTCTTGTAAAACAGCACAGCAGAATCTGCCTTTAACATCCGTGGTGGGGCAGAGGAGGATGTTGTGCCACAAGTGGCGACACAATGCGGTGATACCAATTTCCGTACAGGGCTCATAAAAAGACGATTGTGATAACGTGCTTATTAAATAAGAGTCACGTATTCTAGATTTGAAGCTTTCGTGACTGCAAAGATTCATACTCTTTGGTTTTTTCGGTAAAGTCACGTAGGTAAAATAAAATAAAACAATTAAATCACGACGTTTCGGAGGCAACACAAGCTTCCGTCTTCAGGTGGAACAGTCACAGCAAGATCGCTGCATCACTTGATGCAAGATCGGTGCATCACTTGATGCAGCGATCTTGCTGTGACTGTTCCACCTGAAGACGGAAGCTTGTGTTGCCTCCGAAACGTCGTGATTTAATTGTTTTTATATTATTTTACCTACGTAAATTTACCGAAAAAACAAAAGAGTATAAGATTCACGTACTTAACTTTAGTGGCAATTTAAAAGGTATCGGTACAACTCAAACTTTGCCATCTCAGGTTATACCAATACGTACAATATTTCATCTGGGTTCATGGATCCAATATTTTGCAATGGAAAAAAAATGTCTTTACATTAAAACATGAAATGAGGCCTCAACTGGTGAAACGCAGTCCTCTTCAATGACAAAGCGCAATGCTTTGATTCGTACACAACTCGGAAATCATCGATGCATTGCGGTAGAGCGTGGTCCAAATGTCTTTTGACCCCCCCCCCCAAATTAAATTGGCCCCTAACTTTTTTCCCCCTTCGCTCATTTATTGTTTAGTTTCCACACCCATTGGTAATACAGAAATGACGCTTTAGAGAATGAAATGACAAGGCACCTGGACCACCCTGTAGAGTAGTGGACATTGAAAGACTCCGTGGCATGGTTTCACAGGTGTCGGCTTTGCAGCGCCAGTGGCATGAGCCGATAAAAGCCCTGCACCGTGACCTTGTCGAGAGGGCGGGGGGCTATAAAAACACTCAGGGAGGGGCGGTGAGCACAACACAGTCAATGCAAAACATAAACGTCAACAAATGTTAATCGCTCAACCAAGGTGAACAACGATTTGACTTACATTTGTCAATCGTCCATTGAGTTCTTACCCTCAAAATGTATGTACTGTATTGTAAAAAACAGCCTCCTCTAGCCACAGCGATATGGAGCTGGCACATAACGCCACATTTACAACAGGCCACAGCTAAAAACCAGAAAAGTGTCTACATAAATGTGTACTCAGGCATGGATAGGTTTTACCGACCGACCAAAAATAGATTGTCAGCCATCATTGCACACTTTAAAAGCAAAGTATGTATGAGGAATTAAGGAAAAAGTGAAAAAAACTCAAAAGATAAAATGTGGCATTTTTAACCTGATCGTCATCTCCATGGTGAGAGAGTGAGTGCTTTTGTTGTACTCAATTGGTAAAAGAGGATTAAAAAGTGTGAACGTATCTTGCCAATATTGGAACATTTTACAACCACTTTAAAATAGCATCAGATTTTGAAACGTTTGCTTTACATTTCTTAAATACATAAAAAAAAACATATATACTTTATTGTTTTAAGACGGCTATCGCTAAATAGAAACCCCCACCACACACCTTGAACAAATCCTAACATGACCTTAAAACAGTTGCATCAACGCGGGACAACGCTCTGGGAGTTAAATGCTCTGGTGTTTGCATTAACAACAAACACTTATTCAACTCGAGGATGGTTACCATATGCCAAGGACGGGATGTGTATGGCCTGCAGATAGAGTAGCAACCCCGGTTTACATCGGAGATGCGTTCCTGAAAGGTGCGACGAAAAGTCAACGTGAGTGTGGGTTCAAATCAGGTAGTGCTATTATTAAAGGGATAACGTTTTTGCAATACGACGTAAAAGGAGGGGGGGGGGGGAGATAGGTAAATCTGGGTATGACTGTAATATAGAGCCTGCCATTTCATTTCATATGGCTAGTGGCTAAATCAGGCGAACCACTGCAGAACTGCTAGCAAACACTTATCCACCACTGCAACCGTCTTAGACACCACTCTAATCGGGTATTAGAGGGAGGTGGTGGAGGCACAAATGGAAATTGTTCGACCTGGCAAATTAATTTGGTATTTTTTTACGTGCGCAGTCCCTTCCGTCACTGCGAGGGCCTCTTGCAGCGACATTCGTGATCGGCGTAAGTGTCCGCGTGTGTTTGTCGTATTTGGTACGCTCCGTTGAGGATTGAGGATGAGGGTTTCTCAACCCTCGTCCTAAAACCGGACCTCTCTATTTCACGTTCCAGTTACAAAGCGTTGGTTATTGTTAAATGACAGTGGCGGTGGTGGCAAAGTGATCTTTAACTTGCGATTGTAACATCGCCGGGTCTTTTTTTTTGCAGACCGACATATGATTTGTCTTCACGAACGGAGGCAATCATCCAGGTTTTGTTGTGAGGCTTGGGGAAAATCTCCCCTTTTACTGCCCCCACCCACCACCTCGCCACCACTTCCATTCTGGGAAACTGCCCCAGTTCACAAATGCTGCAGTACAGGTTAGGTGGCGTTTCCATTGCTCAATGCATTCGGTATGCAGGTCGACAATGTGCGATACAAGTACAAAAAAAACCCACCACTAGATAATTCCACACTGTGCGTTTATAACCGACCCATGCAATACTCAGGGAATTCAGGAGTGTGGCTAAAACGATCATTGCTTTTTGTGCATTCAAACGCACAGCATTCGAGCGAGAGAGTTGCATGGGAAGACGGTCGACTCCATATCATGCCGAAGTGTGCGGAATGGCACATCGGGCATTCATGACGGAGCGACGATGATCCAAGGGGGAGGGGGGGCATTAACACTTGGGAACATTCACAGTGGTCGAGCCATTTGGGGTTACAGCTGGAGGCATAACACAATGCATCGATTTACAGCGATGCTTAAAGCACGCACTTACGTGTATCGAATCACCGTCGAGAGTAATCGATGTTGTTCTCGCCCTCCCGATGCGTTTGGGAGCTTCTCCCAGCACGTGGGGCGAAACGTCGGAGGTCGTGCTGAACAACGCGCGGTCGTACAATCGGCGAATGCATCGGAGTGCCGTACAGCAGGAGGAAGCAAAACTTCGGCGGCAGTAGGAATCGTTGGGGGCCGTCCATAAATGACGTCACGCGATTTTGGACAATTTTTGACCCCCCCCCCCCCCCTCGTCACACAGCATCACAAAAAGTCAGACTCCCTCTCAAATATGACGTCAAAACTCTGCCCCCCTCCCCCCACCCAAAAAAAATATATAAAACATGTTTCAAATCGCTTTAAACTATTGCCAGTGCGGATTTAATGTGGCGCTGCACTCTGATGTTGTAGGAGAAAACATTTATTAAAAAGTCTATTTAAGTAGAACGTGTTTATATTTATTTAAAGTTGCGCATTTTGAAGTGACGTCACATTTCTCAACCCCCCCCTCCTCGTCACACATCGTCACAAATGTCTGACCCCCCCCCCCCCCAGGTGCGTGACGTCATTTATGGACGGCCCCTTGGCTGTCGACGCGTATACGATCACGTCACGAGTTGACGCGGCTTGTCTAGCCACGGATGGCTGCTGCATTCAACACGATGTTGAAAAAGAGAGAGAATGGTTTCCTGAAGCTTTACCCCGAATCATGACGAGTCGTCAAATTCCTAGGGGGTAGTGAATCGTTACATTCCTAGGTCAATTCGGCGTGCAATAAAATGCATGTCACATCCGTACACCGATTTTGGGAACGTTGCATTGACAGCTATAATTAAGGAATTAATTCGTTGTCCTTTCCCCACACCTCCGATGAGCACGGTTGGCTACGTACGGTGCGAAAGAAGTTCAAAATACATACGTTGAATCACTATATACAGTAATTGTTTAAAAATCAATATCACACCCAAGTTTAAAATGTTAAATGTTTTTCAGTATTATTCACATGCTTCATCAGGTGATGGGAAGAACCTGCAATACCCTAAGAAATGCCGTGTATAATGAGTGAGACAAAATTAAAAAAAAAACCCTCCTCTCTACATACATCATCCTGTCAAAACATACTTGATGTCCTTCCTCTTACAGGCACCACACACTTAATGATCTATGCTTGATCCACCAACCCCCCCAAGTCACTGGATCACAGGTGTATACCATCACCATGCAGTAAACGAGGTGTGAAAGGTGATTGAACCACACGCGACCCATCAGACAACTCAGGAGCAGGGATATCAACACTGTAAGGCATCACGTTTAAATGTCAAATGGTTTTGATGTTAATACTGCCAGTTGATCAGTCTTTGATGACGAACTTTAAATGGTTTGCATAGGTGATATTTTTGTAAAGGTATTTTGGAAAGAATCTGAAATAGAAGTTAGTTTTCCACACCACGTCTCTTTTAAATGTTGCATTCGAGCAGTACATGCACCCGAATGTGGCGTTAAAAAAAAACCCAATTCAAATAAGTATGTAAATTTATAATACAGATTATCCATCTGTCCCTGCCACGAGTGCCTTCATCAGTGATTCCACGCAAAAAAAAATCAAATGAATGCTAAACGCTGAATGATGAAATTGGCCAAACATCCTAAAGTTGGACCCCGCCGAAAAAGAGACTTAGCAAGGCTTTCCTCGTTCATTAAAGGGCATTCAAACCGTATCCTCTAGATCAGGGGTGGGGAACATCCGGCCCGCGGGCCGTATGAGGCCCGCGAAATTATTTGATCTCTGGCCCTGCCAAGGCAACCGCAGAGGCGTGACTCGAAATTCAAAAAAATCTAGGAACAAACCTGGAAAAGCAGTTGCGAGTAGCAACATCTTCAATACCAGCTAACATCACAGGCCTCACCAAAGAGAAGCAGTTCCAGCAATCGCATTAGGGGTGAGTTAATTAAATGTTTGACCAAATATAACACTCATTTTTAAGCTGATAATTTCGTATGACCCACGAATGATGTTATAAATGTCCAAATGGCCCTTGGCAGAATAAAGGTTCCCCACCTCTGCTCTAGATTATAAGATGCATGCATTTCACCTGAATACTAAAAAAACAAGAGTTGGGTGTGAATCTTACAATACGAATAATACGACATTATTATTACTGAAGAAAAGCTTTCGCACTCGCTGGCAAGAGGAGTTTGTAGGTGATAAGTAACCTACAATTTACCCCACAAAAAGTGGTATCTATGTGTGCTTACGTCTACTGCTGGGTGGAAGGGGGCCTGCGGTGGAAGAAGGAAATTGCCACCAACATTTCAAGGCGTGCTCATTCTGAATTGAAGTCTGCCGAGTAAATAAAAACTTAATGCCCATCACACTCCGGTAACCCAACTTTAATTCGCTGCTCGGTCTCCACAACCCGCGGTCAGTCCAGAGCGAACGACGTTCGTTCCGACACCTCCCCCTTCAATTTCATTTACCACATCGTTCCGTCTCTGGTGACACAGAGGGCTCGCACAGCCCCAGGGCTTCATTTCAGCCGGGTCCGTCAAAGTCCATCGGTGACCTGGAAAATATTTCCGCGGCCGGCAACGACAACATCCAGTAACATCTCTCGCCATGGCCGTGGCTACACTGCGTATAGCCACGCGCCGCCTGCTCGACAATAACAGTTGGAAGAAATTAAGCCCTTTGCCGGCACGCAGAGCCCCGCCCGGCGGGCCCTCCGCTGCCTTAGTCCGCCTTCTTGCACCGCGACGAGGAGGAGGCGGCGGGCCCACAGACCCCGTTGGCCGGGACTCCGTTGGTGTAGGCGACGCCGTTAGTGTGACGCGCCCCGTTGGCCGCACGTTGTCCAGGCGCCGCGTGCGACCGCTGTGCCTGCTGCCGCCACCGCCGCCGACAGCAAACGGAGAGGGCCCACGAGCCGAGACGGTAGCAGGCGTAGACGGCGACGGCAAACAGCAGCGCGACGTCCAGCAGCCAGTAGGTGGGCGTCGAGAACGCGTAGAGGCGCGCGCGCAGGTGCGGCGCCCCGCCGTGCCGGATCACATACTCCACCCAGTAGACTGTGCGGTTCACCGGGTGCTCCGGGTAGTCGCGGTGGATGTGGGAGAGCACCTGTGCACGCTCACGGTAACTGCGGCGGTGTGGGAGGGAGAGAGAGAGAGATGTAAGCTACATCATCACCGCCGCTTAATCTTGATACCGCACTACCCATGTCAGTGTATTTCGTGGCGCTCTGCAGCAGGGGAACCCCGCCCCAAAGTGACAGCTGTCCTAGGTGACACACAAGGCAAAGTCAGCCCCGGCATGTGAGTGGGCATCGCTCTGCCAGAAGGAGGCGACATTGCTCCACGGCTTCACGATTAAGTAATTAGCCAAATTTGGACCGCGACACGGCAGACATGGCTTACTCATCTTCGAATAATATAACACAATTTTAACGTCCCTACTCTGAAGCAGACAGCGCCCATTGTAAGGTTAATACACCAGCAGTATTAAATCAGGGCAGCCGCTGGGCTCAAACTGCGTTACGATGATGTTCATATGTTCGTTATCGAGCCGTGTTTTTGTTTGAATGAGCAAATCACACGGAATTCAAAACACAAAGCCAAAACAAATTGCAGCCATTCTCAATATGCACTGATGAAAAACTCCTGGCCAATCTGGTGGTTCTCAAGATCTTTGGTACAGGGAGCCACGAATCAAGACACCTTCCCATTCCAAGACAACTGCAAGTTGCAGGGTGGGTGTCCCATTCATCGCTGAATCTCGGAACACGCAAGCGGATCAGTGTTAATTTTATTTAGAGAGGTGTAGTAGCACCGTTGTTTTAAAAGGCAATGTACTTACCTCAGAGAACTATAGCGACACGACTGTACTATGATAGCTGGCGCCATTCTGTGCCACACGTCTCAGTACCGATAAAAACAACTTTTAATTTTAGTTTTTCTTCCAGCATGGTATCAAAGCCACAGCTTGCACCCCCCCCCCCCCCCCCCGAAAGGCAACGCATGGGTTTGCCACAGTTGAGCGAACTTGCCCCGGTCGTCAACCTCTCTCCTGTCCCTCCTTCCCTCCCTACTTCCTGCCCCCTCGCTCAAAAACTCAGATTCCACCCTCACCTGGGCACCGAGGTGACGTCAACGATCGCGTTGTAGAGGTCGTCCTGCGTCATGCGGTCCCAGTGCATCTTGAGCCCCATTCCCTTGGCGTGCACACGTGTCATGGTGTCGTAGTGGTCGCCGAACAGCGGCATGCCGACGACGGGCACGCCGTGGTACACCGCCTCGTACACGCCGTTCAGGCCGCCATGGGTCACGAAGGCTCGTACGCCCACGTGGCCTGGAAGCGAGAGAGAGAGAGCGCAAGCGAGAGGGGAACAGCGACGAGACGCTAGTCACGGTCAGACGGCGCAAGCAAAGATGCAGTGCGAGTGCTTGCAGGGTTTCGTGATGGCGTTCGGGCCTACGACCATATGTATGTAGAACTTCTTTCGCACCGTACATAGCCAACCATGCTTATGAGAGGTGCGTGGGAAGCTACGTGCAATCCTCTCCCCCCCCCCCCCCACAATCGCAAGTTTATTTTAAGAAAAGAATGGGCAACCCAGAAAAATCCCAACAATAGGCTCGGTAAATAAGGACGTGTGTGGTGCCACCGCAGCGGAGCAGCTCGGCCAACGCTACCCTCTCCTTGCACCCCCCCCCCCCCCCACGAATGCACGCCCCACTAAACACTGACATGCACCCCCGTAGGGTCTGGAGGAGGGATCACCTGGTACGATGGGTTTTCACCCGAGGACCCCACTAGCAGGGACGTTTCATGGTTTTCCCAGGAGCAAGAAATTGGCTGAGCCCCCCAGACCGGATTACATGGCGCCCCCCCCCCCAAAAAGGGGGTATAGAGCTTTACAGGCCGGCCGCAATGAAGCATACACAACACGGGGGGATGGGACCTTCAGCCAGTACCCAGCAGCAGGGTAAACAGTGGGGTGGGAGGGAAAAGCCCCTAGGCAGATAAGAGTTGATTTAAGTTGGAGGGAGCGAGGGGATTATCGATGAGTCAACGGCGAGGAACGCAGGTACAGAGACAATGGGAAGGGGGGGGGGATGACGCGACCCCCCCCCCCCCCCCCCCCCAACGGCCAGAGCGCTCAAAACGGCCGCAAAGAGGATTCGATTGGATGCGCAGGATGATGTCATATGACCCGGGGGTTAAGGGGCTTTGAGGACATAAGGGGGCGGAGGGGCGGATTGAATCAGAGTTCTTCTGGAGCGGCGGAAGAGACCAGCCATCCTCAGCGTCCGCACGACGCCTGCAGGGTGGAGCGGGAAACGATCGGCCAGAAAAAGTCCAAGGCGAGCATCTTCCCCAGCCCCATCGGGCAGCTGAAGAAGTGAGTAGGTACGGGAAGGGGGGCCAATTCAGTCCAGCTCACAGTCAGCTGGAGCTTGGGGGATAGACGCACTCTGCGACGGCTAGGTGATAGGAGGGCAGGCGCTGTCCGAAGGGTGCTGGCTGGAGGGGGTGTTGTATATATAGGCCTTTTTCCAAAATTGATATTAATAATGATTTTGACGATATATATTTTTTTATCAATCGTGGTGTCACTTGGGGCAAAGGGGGGGGGGGTGATCGAGCCCCCCTCTCCTCACACACAACAGGCCGCCGGAGATAAGCAATAAAAAGTAATAAACCCAACACAAAGAGAAAGGGGGGGGGGATTCCTAATGAGAAACTACAAAAAAATCCTGACACGTGGTGCATGTGTGTGTGTGTGAAGAACGGTGGGACAGTGATCGGCGTGCGACGGTGTGCACCGCAGTGTTAACGGTGAGACACGCGCGAGTGTCACGTGAGTGTCACTAGTGTCTGTGCGTGCACCACAGTGTTAACGGTGAGACACACGTGAGTGTGACTAGTGTCTATGTGTGCACCGCAGTGTTAATGGTGAGACACGTGAGTGTCACTAGTGTCTGTGCGTGTCTCACCGCGGTGTTAACGGTGAGACACGCGAGTGTCACTAGTGTCTGTGTGTGTCTCACCGCGGTGTTAACGGTGAGACACACGTGAGTGTCACTAGTGTCTGTGCGTGCACCACAGTGTTAACGGTGAGACACACGTGAGTGCCACTAGTGTCTGTGCGTGCACCGCAGTGTTAACGGTGAGACACACGTGAGTGTCACGTGTCTGTGTGTGCACCACAGTGTTAACGGTGAGACACACGTGAGTGTCACGTGTCTGTGTGTGCACCGCGGTGTTAACGGTGAGACACAAGTGAGTGCCACTAGTGTCTGTGTGTGCACCGCAGTGTTAACGGTGAGACACACGTGAGTGTCACTAGTGTCTGTGTGTCTCACCACAGTGTTAACGGTGAGACACACGTGAGTGTCACTAGTGTCTGTGTGTGCACCACAGTGTTAACGGTGAGACACGCGAGTGTCACTAGTGTCTGTGTGTGCACCGCAGTGTTAACGGTGAGACACACGTGAGTGTCACTAGTGTGTGTGTGTGCACCGCAGTGTTAACGGTGAGACACACGTGAGTGTCACTAGTGTCTATGTGTGCACCACAGTGTTAACGGTGAGACACACGTGAGTGTCACTAGTGTCTATGTGTGCACCGCAGTGTTAACGGTGAGACACACGTGAGTGTCACTAGTGTCTATGTGTGCACCACAGTGTTAACGGTGAGACACACGTGAGTGTCACTAGTGTCTGTGTGTGCACCGCAGTGTTAACGGTGAGACACACGTGAGTGTCACTAGTGTGTGTGTGTCTCACCACAGTGTTAATGTTGAGACACACGTGAGTGTCACGTGTCTGTGTGTGCACCGCAGTGTTAACGGTGAGACACACACGAGTGTCACTAGTGTCTGTGTGTGCACCGCAGTGTTAATGTTGAGACACACGTGAGTGTCACTAGTGTCTGTGTGTGCACCACAGTGTTAACGGTGAGACACACACGAGTGTCACTAGTGTCTGTGTGTGCACCGCAGTGTTAACGGTGAGACACACGTGAGTGTCACTAGTGTCTATGTGTGCACCACAGTGTTAACGGTGAGACACACGTGAGTGTCACTAGTGCCTGTGCGTGCACCGCAGTGTTAACGGTGAGACACGTGAGTGTCACGTGTGTCTGTGCGTGCACCAGTGTTAACGGTGAGACACACGTGAGTGTCACTAGTGTCTGTGCGTGCACCACAGTGTTAATGGTGAGACACACGTGAGTGTCACGTGTGTCTATGGGCGCACCGCAGTGTTAATGGTGAGACACACGTGTCACGTGTGTCTGTGCGTGCACCGCGGTGTTCACGGTGAGACACACGTGGTTGGGTGTGGGGGGGGGCCGCGCGAGCGACGATTTATTTATTAATATCCAGACCGCGCGGGAGTGGTCGCCTTGTTGACACAAGGGCTTAGTGGAAATTATTAATTAAACCCCACACAGCGGTGAGTCAAACAATATTACGTAATCCGCGCGGTTAGGACGCGCGAGTGGGGGTGGAGGGGGCAGACGTTACACCCCACCGGCTCGCGGGGAGTGGGGAGGGGGAGATCAGCCCCAACCTACGCCGGACCGCATGCTTATTGTTGGAACTTTTAACGTACGTTGTAAACGTGAATGAAGCAAATGTTTGCAGAATTCTATCCCTTGCAGTAACAAGTCAGCAAGTGGTGATGCATGGTTTACTCGGTGACATAACTGCCAGCTTTTTGGGCCGCCTTTTTGAGCGGCGCTGTTGCACCAGGGCACGCACGACACATGGTTGTCGTGGTGTGCGCGTGGAGTTTATACGGACAAACAAAACGCAAGCCCGTAAACACCCGTTTCTCACGATGCTGCTCAGTTGCAACACTAATGCTTTTACTGAATTATGCCTAAAAACAACCTGGGCACACACACACACGTACTGCACGAGAGGTGTACACTCTGCTGAGATACAATGGGAGAGGCAGCAGCAAATGCCATCTTCCTCCTAAAAAATAAATATGTTGGCTGTGGTGTTTGTTCATAGGAATGCAGCGCCAGGGTAACAGATTACATGGGATGACTCTAGCAGGGTTGCCCAAACTCCAGTCCTAGCGACCCACCCACGCTATGCACTTTTAAATCTTGATTGAAAACTCGTTTATTTAGAACTGCTCTTTGTGTTTAGTTCACTGTCCTACGTACGGTGACCATGCAACGTTTTTTTTTATAACCCTCGCTCAATGCAAGACACCTATCAACGACTATTATTACTTCTTCAAATTGTGCCGTTTGATGTTGGCCGATTGGCATTCTGGGCCTCTGGGTCTGGGCTTGGCAACTGATATATTTTAAAAAACAGGAATCTAGCACTCAAAACGTACAACCAGTTTTCTGACGGCCACATGATATGATGTTGTGTACAGAATGAAGATTCAAACAAATTGTAATGCCACAAATAGTTCTGTTTGTAAAAAATAAATCTACATCTTAAACACGTGTATAGACCATCTTCCTGTAATGAGATGTGTAAATGTTTGCATCAGATCAAAGATGGCAATGCCACTTCACTGTCACGGACCGTGACAGCATCCGGGGTCAACTGAAGTCCGCTGGTAAACTCTACCATGGAGTTCTGCCAAGGCTCCTCGTCAAAGTCTCATTGAGGGCCCCACCACTGCGCCATATGGCTCTGTTCTTCCAAGAAAACTGACCAAACATTTTTTTTATTTTACCAGGCAAAGCTCACTAAACTATATAGCCCTTTTTCAGTAGCTACCTGACCACAAATAATGGCTCAGTGAATTGGCTTATCAGGTGGACATTTATATCAGCCAAATACCCTAAACGCTTGTTTCTAAATGGAGGGGAAAACCGGAAGACCCAGTGGAAAAATCCACGCGACCACAGAGAGAACATGCCAACTCCAAATATACAGGACAGAACCCACGACATTCTGTACAGCGGGCGATGCAGTTAACACTTCTCGCCACTGTGGCGGCTCCTCCATTGACCGCTCGCTATAGGGTGGCGCAGCTCTCCCACATGTGGGACGTTAGAGATGGGAGACCCACAGACCGGCGACTGCGGCCACCCGAACCACGCGATGGGCCACATCGTTCTACTGGGCCTGCTCGACGGCGGACCGAATAGCGTTAGTCTCGCTCCTCCCAAAGCCATCGTCGCATGGCTCACAAAATTAAACCTGGGACATAAAAATCACACGTAGCTGCCTCACGCTAGAGCAGGGGTCGGCAAACTTGGGCTCTGGAGCCGCGCGCGGTGCCCTCTTTGGCTGCCCCCTTGTGGGCAGCCGTTTTTTTTTTTAAAAGAAACCTTAAATCTTAAACATTATTTTAAACCCAAAGATAATTAGCAATGTATTGAATATGGCAGGGAATGGGTTACTATAGAATGCCTTGGTGATGACAAAATGTAGAAACAGTCAAACAGCATTGTTGAAGAATAACTAGTTGGGGGCAAAAACTAAAGACGCAGTTTATTCCATCAACTATTTTGTTCATCTATGTCAGAATTTGTCATCTGTTGTATACCTGCTGTGACTGTACTAGTAACTGTGCGTGTGATGTGGGTCTCGAACTATTTTGGTCAAAGACAAACAAAAAAATGTCTCTTCTTCTTCGAAAGGTTGCCGACCCCTGCGCTTGAAGGAAAAGAAGCAGCACACGGAGCAACGTAAAACACGTTGGGTTTTGTAAATGCGAACCGTCGCCAGCCAGTCCACAAACACAGCCTCGATACGCGACTCACCGAGCAAGTCGTTCTGCGGCAGCCACTCCACAAGGCGCGTGTTGTTGCCCAGGTTGTGCGGCTTCTCCCCAAAATATCTGCACGAACACGCACGAACGAACATTCACACATGCGCCCACCGCTTTGACACATTGCAGCCTTAAAACACAATAACACTGCATCGGTTTCTAATTCGCAGCATTTATTCGAACGGTTTTTGGCCACGCAGTCAATTTAACGGCTCTTCGTCATCATCAACACCAGCAGCCATGGTCAATCCACTGCTGAATAAATGCTTCTCTAGGCTGATGCCACCTCTCACGATCCTGCGATGTAATAATCCACCAAGCACCTGCACACGAGAGCCAATTCCATTGCGCCATTTCCTCGGTAGACATCCTCCCTAACGCATTCTATTTCTTGGCATCCACTTGGTAATTATTCCTGTCTTAAATGTCGATTTAAAGCTTTCGTGACTGCGGGGATTCATCTTCTTGGTTTGTTTCGGTAAAGTCACGTAGAATGGAGATAACGTGACTTTACCGAAAGAACCAAAAAGATGTATTCCTGTCTTGGTTATTACTGCGGGAGTAATAACCATCATAATGCCGCACACAGTCTGCTTCAGTGGCCATTAAAGATCTACCGATGTCTTTTGCAAGAGTGGGGAATTTTGCGAGCTGGCATCAGAGGCCAAATTAAACAAATACGATAATTAGAGTACACCACAAATTACTCCACTGGGATTATACACATAGCAACTAACAGACGAACGCAAGTTGCTCTCCTGATCTCTTGAGTTCTCAACCAGTTAAACAAAATCGTTCTTTCTAAGGATGTGTACTGCCAAGTACACTTTACTTCTCTTCACGGTTTGAATTAAGTCTTTCCGTCTCTCAAATGCAACGCCGAGCATGCATTTCGCCATCCTCCATTGCTCACTTTTCAATGTTGTTGTCAATTACCGGGTTTTCTGATTCGTGTCATGGCAGGGAGTACACATTGATAATTAAATTTGGCTTTAGGCACATTGGCAAGTTGCTCTTCAATATTAAATTCAGATTTCCACAAACACTCCAACCTAAATTTCGATTTTAAAGCTTTCGTGACTGCAGGGATTCATCTTCTTGGTTCTTTCGGTAAAGTCACGTAGAAGGGAAATAATAAAAGGAGTTTACATACTCTTTGGTTCTATTGGGTAAAGTCACGAAGGTGAAAATAAAATAACAAAAAATCACGAGGTTTCGGCCACAACACAAGCGGCCTTCATCAGGTGAAGGGACGAGACTGTCTGGAGGACAGCGCTGGAGTGGAAGAAGCCACGCTTAGATCATTTACATATTGATATGTAAACTCCTTTGTCAAGGCGCTCTGCTCCTCCCATCCAGCTTAAAATACGCTGCCAAGCTTAGGAGTGTTCATTGGAGCGCTGTCTTTCCGACAGCTTTGTTTCTTCACCTGAGGACGGCTGCTTGTGTTGTGGCCGAAACGTCGTGAGAATTTTATTTTCATCATTTTATTATTTCCCTTCTACGTGACTTTACCGAAAGAACCAAGAAGACATTCCAACCTACTTTCGTCCGCATTTTTAGCTTACAATTTTAATTCTGGTCGACCTTCAATCGCTTGCTTAGACACACACACATCCTCCGTAACGATATCCAGTTGGGTCCAGAATATGCAATAAAATATCACTCTACGAATGCATTAATAATGAACTAAGCCACGTATTCATGTAGCACACAGCAGTACATATTCATAAAACAAATAAAACGATGTTAGTGTTGGTAGTGGCGCTGGTTGTGGTGGTGGCAGTCTTAGTGACAATGGTAGAGACAAAAGTAGCATCGATAGTGATACTGATGGTAGTGATGATGATAGCAGTAGAAATTATGGTAGTGTCAGTCGTGATACTGGAGGTAGTGACGGTGATAGCGGTAGAGATTTTGGTAGTGGTCTCGGTGGGGGAGGGGATGGAATTTACCTCCAGAGCACCTTGTGGGGCAGGCGAGCGAAAGCTCCGGCCAGCTTGAGCGACAGCTCCTCCGACAGGTACTTGACTCCCGCTCCGAACGAGACGATCACGAATCCCACGTCACCTGCGGCGTCTGCCCAGCTCGCCAGGTCCTGAATGTGCACACACACACATACATACAGATATAAGCAAACGTTTGCAAGACACGTGCACATTAGGCACATCTGTGCACACAGGGACACGTGTCCACATGTGTGCACATGCACAAAGACATATCAAATATCCCCCACCACTGTAGTCTTAACAGACTGTTGGGGTAAGTGCTGTTAGCGAGCACCTATGAAGGCTGGCATGGTACACGAGGGGGTGGGTGGCCAGCACCACGCCATTTCACCTTTGTCTCCAGAGTGGTGATGTCTACACACCATACCAGGTACGCGTTTGAGGCCGAGTCAACTTAGGGGAGGCCCAAGACCGGTTCAGATGATCATCACCGTTGTTGGCCATGACGGGGAAACAAACGCAGGTCACCGGGTTCGTAGCGGAGTGTGCTATCCGCTGCACCACCCACAATAACACGCACACATGCGTGCGACGACTCTCAAACTCACCCAGCAGCTTCCTCCCCTTGCACACAAAAAAGCGACGCCGCCTCTCAAAATCGGCTGTCACCCATACAAAAAAAACTTCAACCGACGGCTCACCGTGGGCAGCGGCCCCGCAGGTTTCGTGAGCACTCCCCCGACATAGGCCACGTGCGGGAGCGTCGGCCTCGGGAACTCCAGCGCCGCGTCCGTGCACAGCATCCAGAAGTCCGTCCCGGCGATAATCTGCGCCATCGGCATCGGCGCCACCGCCGCCGCCGCCTCCCCCTTCTCCGGCCTCCGCTCGCCGCCGCTTCGCCAGTGCCTGCGGATGACGGCGTCGAAGCGCGGCAGGATGAGCCAGTGCGTGCCCAAGCGGCTCATGGCGTAGACGACGGCGTTGCGAGCGCGCTCCAGCGGGCCCATGTCGTCGGTGAGCTCCGAGTTGAACTCGGGGACGTACGCGAGCGGGGCCGGCGCGCCGATCTCGGCCGGGAACCAGAGTCCCGTGGAGAGGACGGCGTAGCGCACGCCCAGCAGGTGGGCCCACACGAAGCCGCACATCTCGTTGGGGTCAATGAGCAGCAGGTCGAAGCGCTCGGCCTCGAGGCGCCGCCGCAGGTCACGGTCGCCCACCATGACGTCACAGTTGCGCTCGTACTGCTCCAGGATGGAGAGCAGCTGCAGCGACGTCAGCCGGCCGGAGAAGATGTTCTGCACCTGCGCGGCAAAACCGGGCCGGTCGGCGTCATCGTTTTTTTGTTCGTTGCCCGTGTTGCGTCGGTTTTGCCGCACGTATGCAGAATTTATTTCGCATAGGTCGTTGCTGACCATGCTAATCGGAGGTGTGGGGGGGGGGGGGCAAACTAAACACGAAAAGTGGTTCAAGAAATTAGTTTTCAATCTAGATTTAAAAGTGCACAGCTACAGTGGCTTCATAATGTCGGCAGGAAGAGCGTTCCAGACGGCAACAGAAGTGCATCTTTTGTTCGATGGTTAGCCAAAAACCGCTACTGCAAGGATGGCCGGAGTTCACGTAGTGATGGTTTATGCTCCTTGACGAGATCAGCAAGGTATTGTGGTTCATTTGTGGCGAGTACTTTTTGTGTTTAAGGAATGAGACCGGTTCTCGTTTGACTTGCCGACTGCATTACGCCGGCTGGACTGGAGAAATATACGAGTGGGACAGATATGGTCCACGATACGGTCGATTAACAATGTAAACAATGGGCAAATTAAACAATGACCTCACGACAACACCATCACCACCGATCAAGGTCAGATCTCAGAAACTCGGCAGGCTTGCAGAATGGATGGTGCCTTGATTGGTGACCACCATGAATACAGGAAGTGCAGAAAAATGCAATCTTATTGTACTCTCCACGCTCCCCGTCATCGCTAACCCAGACTAAGCAGCAAGGTGAAATATGGTAAAATAACCGCGCTCAGCCAGTGCGGTGTGGGGAGGCCTTCATACAGCAGCAGATTGTACGTATACAGTACATTACCCAGGTAAAGATGAGGCCCGAACTGACAATGTCGCTGTTGCCCTTGAGTGAGCTGCAGACTCTCCATCACAAGTTGCCCTAGATTCAACATGCGACACGAGTCATAATCTTTTGATGCCACTGTCCACTAAAAAAAAATAAAACTGTACGTATCTGACCGGAAATTAATCGAGGAACCGTCCGACCAAGTCTAGGGCACAAGGAGTCAAATCCGTCTTTGGAACACGGAGCAACCGATCGTCATCGGGCTGGGTGCTGCTATACGGCAACAGACTGAAGCTTCTTCTTGTTGTTCAGCCGCTCGTAACGTTTGTCTTCCGACTGCTTCGACATCACGAGAACCGATTTTGACGCACCCCACAATATTTTCTGACCGGGGTTGCGAACAGGGGCGGAGCCAGGATTTCAGGCCGGGGTGAATTCAACAAATTTTAATTTCAAGAATGATTAGAGAGTCAGGCTGTTGAACTAGACGCCATCGGTTGGCGACACACTCTGACAATGCAGTTGCACGGAGTCCGCCAGACCGAGTGTCGTACACTTTTACGCAGAATGTCACCCCTGTCATCCCCCCTGGCTCCGCCCCTGTTTGCGAATCGTGGGAAAATTCATTACAGTATAGTGAAAAATTAGCTTTTTTTTTATACCGCGCACCACTGGTGTACCACCACCAATACGTTATTTTTTTATTGACAGCTCCTGTGCAAATAACCCAGCTATCAACCCAAACATCTCCACAATGTGACACTTAAGAGCCATTGATAATAACTCTCTCTAAGCCTTGGCACCGCATCATTCTGTTCAAAATCCTCACTTTCCCTCGCCCAACGAAGATATTGTGTTGGACAAAGACAAGACACGCCGAAATCTTAACGCCGCCGCTACTACTAGGCTCGAGTTAAGGGATCGCTTTACTGCCAACACTAAGGCTCGATTCAAACCCACAAAAAACGGATTCCCCCCAGTTGGTATTTTGCGAGATGTTAACTAACTCGCCTGATATGCATGAGGTAGTAAGGTTTGATCCCAAGCCTGATGCCTTTATATTTGGAGTTTGCGTCTCTCTTTTTCTCCCAATAGTCGTGTGGATTATTCACCGGGTCCTCCAGTTTTTCCCTCTACATTTTAAAAACATGTGTTTAGGGTAATTCGGCTGCTATACATTTCCACGTGATAGGCCGCTTCGTTGAGCGATCATTTGTGGCCAGGTCGCATCTGAAAAAGAGCTACATAGCTCAGTGGGCCGACCTTAGCTGGTAAAATAAAAAAAATAGTTTAGTTTATCAGCGGTAGACTTCATCAAACCACTCCTGGATGAAGGCCTCCCAAAACCGTCACCATCTCTCGTGGTATTGCGATGTCACAATCCACAGGAGCAGATTTCATTGCTCAGTCTTCAAGGGCGTGTGCCCTGCTTTGGCTGCCATTCCGCTGTGCATCTCAACCACGGCCCATGATCAGCCCTCATTGAAAAATTCGTGGTGGAGAGTTACAAATAGATTTTAACTCAAACCTAAAAAGGTTGCCAGTTTTAACTGTATGTACATACGCATGTTGAGCTTCTTGTCGCACTGTATGTAGCAAACCATGCTCATCGGAGGTGTGGGGAAGGACAAACTAAACACAAAAAGCAGTTCTGAAGAAATGGCTTCCTAATATCGGAAGGAAGAGCATTCCAGACAGCTGCCAAAAGCCACTGCAATTGATTCTCCCAGCATGACGGTGAAAAGAATGAACAAATTCCTCTACACCTCTGTTCACCTAGCAGCATAAAATCGATCGATCTGTCCGATATGACGGGGTAAATTGTGTGGCTACTCCAACCTCTTCCAAGGCGTCCAGCCAGCGTGTAAGAGTAGGCCAAGTACCATATGGGGAGGCGCTCTCTAGAACTCCCTCTGGTGGAGGCCCTTCCACCAGCTGTTGCCTGAAATTTCAGGGTAGCCCCTGAACGTTTTAACCCTGAGCTTAAAATCGTTTTGCCCCTCTGATGTCTCACGTTCAGGTGACCCAGTGGTAGAGGGAGCGGCTCACAATGGCAATGTTACCAGAGTTCAAATCCTGGTTGGGGGAGGGGGTTCAACTAAGCCAATAATCCCTCCCCCCCTCACCCCATGGGTCGATATAACCAGGACCACTTTAACAGCGGCTATCCTATGGTCACACTTGCACCCGACCGTAAGCAAGCGGAACATGGCACCACTTAAAAACCCATAACCTTGATGTCCCGACGATCCAAGAAACTCACGTCTTGGATGCCCTACATGGCAGTCGCTACCACATCCATGGGTAGAACCGCACGGACGAGCCATCACCACCTGAATTATGACTTGGCCATATACGTGCGACTCGGCAACACTGGCTCAGAGCTGTGAAACGGAGATGAGCAAATGCCTCGATGCACATTTGAGAAGTTACTTTGAAAGACATTAACACAAGAGGGAGAGGGAGGGAGGTGGGGGGAAGAGGGGGGGGGGTAAGGGTGGCTAGGGGTTATTGTTAGGGGGCAGCAGAGGGCAGAGAGGGCAGAAGCCGACCTTCTCCTGGAGGAATTCGTCGGCTTGGCGCGACGAGAAGAGGCCCCGGTAGCGGTGGAGCCGCACGTGCGGGGAGGGCGGCAGCTCGCGGCCCTCCGAGACCACAAAGACGACGTCGTGGCCGCGCGCGTGCAGCTCGCCTGCCAGCCGCTGGAAGATGTACAGGTGGCTCTCGAACATGATGGGTGGGATGACGGCAACCTTCGCCGCCGTCGCAGCGCCCCCCCGTCCCGGTGACAACGGCAGCAGCAGCAGCAGCAGCGCGGGCAGCAGGAGGGACAGCGGAGGAAAGCGGACGGCTCCCGCGTGCTTCGTCATCGTCGTCGGCTGTCGTTCCTGCGCGGGTTGGGAAGGGCAGCAGAGCAGACGACGGAGATGGTTAGTGCTCAGATCGAGGGGACCCGGATTTATGAGACGAATGATTACAGGCCTCCCTGGCTAGATGGGAGTTCATTTTATGCGATTTCGCACTGTATACACTGCTAAACGATTTCTACCCAAAATTCGCTCATCGAGGTGGTTTGAATTCACTCTACATGCAGCTATGCAATCGGACGTGGGACAACGTTGTGTGTGTACCGTGTATGTGTGAGCTACATATGTGGGTAACCACATCCGTTTCAGGCTGTATATCCAGTTGGACTCGTTGCTCAGACGAGATTATCATGGGAGTCCGAGCCTGGAGGCATGATCACTCTGTGCAGGACACACCTTCACACGTAACAGTCTTGTGTGTATTTATTTTCCCTCACTGTACTTGGCAGGTAGCTATCTCCTCATGCGGTTTTGCTTTGTGTGCTCCTTATTTAGGAATGCATCTACTATTACTGTCGCATCAAGCAAGGGAAATGTACATAGTAAATGCAATGTGCAGAGATGCATTGCATGTACGTATTTGACCATACTCATCAGGTGTGGAGGAAGGACAAACTAAACACAAAACGCAGTTCTAGATTTGAAAGTGTATAGCTCCAGCGGCTTCCAAATATCGAAAGGAAGAGCGTTCCAGACGGCCACATAAGTGCAGCTGAAAGTGCACGATGCTTCTTTGTTCGATGGTTAGCCAAATGCTGCAATGATGACCAGAGTTTAAATAAGCTATCCACTAATTATCGTTTCATATTCAGATTCTGATATACATTGCAAACCAATGGTTATGGAAGGCAATTAATCCGTCTCATCTCCATCTTGTCCTTGGCACTCATGCTTCATCGTCTCCCTTTATCCATCAGTTTAACACGTAGTAGGCTTTCGCGACCAATATTATTCATTATAAAAGGTTTTTGGGTTAGATCGCGTTATTTATAAATGTGTCGTAACCCTCCACCACCCGACACGGCCAATCAGCAAAAAAGTGTCACGTTGACAAAAGACAAATAGTTCACTACTTTAGCCCACCGGTGTGTTGAAGAGTGAATCCGCAACATTTACAGTTTGAGTACGACGTTTCGCTGGTAATTACATCCAGCATCATCGGGCAATTCGCCAGAATGGTAAAGCCCTCGCTTGCTCCCGGTCTTAAATAGAGTAGCAGGGTGACGTCATCATTTACCTGAAATGAGTTGCAGTGATTTGTAATTATATAATCGATTGGTAATCAGTCAATGGTTATGATTAGTAATGAGTTGTAGATTAGTAATTAGTTGTAATGTGTGTTATTGTTATTATATGCTACGTTAGTAATCCGTTAATTAGTATGTGTTTCCCCTATAAGGAATTGTAATATGTATCATTTAATAATACGCTTCCAAGCCGCACTAAGCCTATAGCTGTCAGAGCGATTAAAGTTATTTCTATTCCTCTCAATTTCAATGGATTCTCTAATTAGTCTTTGCCAGTAATAATTACTATAACTACTAAACTGAACAATTATTTTTATTTCACCAGGTTCATGGTTCATAGTTCATTTATTTGGTATAGCCCTGTGAGCCATTCGGCTCTTGAATCGGGTGCAACCGCAACAAACAAAAAACATGAACAAGAAAACATCTTCAAGTGATTATGTGACTGTGCAAACAGAAAATACAGGAAAAAAATATCAAAATATTCCTGAAATAGCACCGTACACCAACACTGTGCAAAAATACCAGTGGGATGCAAGTCAAACAACAACAACCACAAGACAACTAAGATTAAGGCTATCAGTCTAACTCCGTACTACAACAAACAAAAAACATGGCCAAAACAAAAAAAACCGTAAGGTAAGGCCCACTGAGCTATAAAGCTCTTTTTCAGAAGCGACCTGGCCACAAATGATAGCCCAACGAAGTGGCGTATAAACGTGGAAATTTATGGCAGACAAATTACTCTAAGCGCGTGATGTTTTTCAATGTGGAGTGAAAAACTGGAGGACCCAGATAAAAATCCACACGACTGCAGGGAGAGAGAGATATGTGCAAATTCCAAATATACAGTCATCACGGTCGGAATCAAACCCACGACCTCCTGCATGCCAAGCGAGGGAGTTAACATCTCGCCAGTATTGTCCGTCGTCTCACGATGAGTTCATATACCACAAGTGGGTGGGGGCATTGGCTTCAGCGTTCATGTCACGGCCCCCCCTCCACCCCCCGTCGTCAATGCCCTTCACTTCCCACCATGAGCCAATGGTCCAATTTGGACGACTGAATGAGCTATAACTCAAGTCCAAGTCTCTTAAATGAAACCACCAAATACCACTGATGGTAGTTGGTACGGTTTTGTGTGCCATTCATACATTCGTTTTGCGTCTAATCCTTGTATTTATGACATTTGTTTTGGGGTACTTTTCGCCAATGAAAAATTTCTGTATGGTATTTCCTTTAATTGCACTCCAAGTCTCTCTGAGTAACAGAGAGACCTTGACTGCAGTAAACTCTCACCTGGTTCATATTCTTGGTTCTTTCGGTAAAGTCACGTAGAAGGGAAATAGTAAAATAATAAAAATAAAACATAATAAAATTCTCACGACGTTTCGGCCACAACGCAAGCAGCCGTCATCAGGTGAAGAAACAGAACTGTCGGAAGGACAGCGCTCCAAATCACAGCTCTGTGTTCTTTACCTGAGGACGGCTGCTTGCGTTGTGGCCGAAACGTCGTGATAATTTTATTTGATTACGTCTTATTTTTATTATTTCCCTTCTACGTGGTGACTTTACCGAAATGACCAAGAAGATGAATCCCTGCAGTCACGAAAGCTTTAAATCGAAATCTCACCCGGTTATAAAGGTCACGGTGTGTAAACATGTACTACACGTATGTCTCTTATGTGGCACATGTGCTGGATGAATTTACTGTACAGGTTTCCCCTCTATAACTAGCATCATCAGGCGGAGAGCCCAATCCGATTACTGGCAAAACGTCGTACTCAGATTGTAAATGTTGTGGATTTGCTCTCCAACACACCGGTGTGCTGTACGCGTAACGAATTGGCACGTTCTCTTTACGTGACAAACCTTACCTCATTGCCTGTGTCGGATGGTGGCGGGTCTAACGACACTTTTATATCTGGATTTGAAGCTTTCATGAATGCAGGAATCCATACTCTTTGGTTACTTCGGTAAAGTCACGTAGGTAAAGAAAAAATAGATCTATTTTTTTTTCTACCTACGTGCCTTTACCGAAAGAACCAAAAAGAGTATGGACACTTTTATATTTACGCCATTTAACAAAAAAAAAACCCTGTATTATGGACGGTTTAGAATCGTCACTTTGCCAAGACAAGATCCACTGGCGAGATGGAGCCACGGCATCGTCTCACGGCACGTGGTAAGGGGTGGATCGCCGTATGAAAAGCACTGCTCTTTCCCTGTCAATTATCCAAGGGAATGGAGGAGCGACCCGCATAAAACACGAATGAGGGTACCGTAACGCAAAACATATAAACTAGGCAATAAACATGTATTTCTTTCGATTTTAAAGCTTTCGTGACTGCAAGGATTCATCTTCTTTGGTTCTTTCGGTAAAGTCACGTAGAATGAGAATAAAATAATAAAATAAAATAAGACAATAAAATTCTCACTATTTTATTCTCACTATAGTGAGAATTTTATTGTCTTATTTTATTATTTTATTCTCATTCTACGTGACTTTACCGAAAGAACCAAAGAAGATGTATTTGTTATTTACCGACATAGAATGGGGGTGCAGACGTTGAATGTGTGGACTTTTAGCGAGCACCGATTACGGGCGGCACCGTGGCACCCAATGACACCTCGCACCGGGTTTTTGATTAGGGGCCGTCCATAAATGACGTCACGCGATTTTGGACGATTTTTGACCCCCCCCCCCTCGTCACATGGCGTCACAAAAAGTCAGATCCCCCCCCTTCAAATATGATGTCACAAAGCTCTCCCCCCCCCCCAAAACCATATTTCCATTTTGAAAATAAAACATGTTTCAAATCGCTTTAAACTTTTGTCATTGTAGTAGTGCGTATTTAATGGGCCCCTGCACTCTGATGTTGTAGGAGAAAACATTTATTAAAAAGTCTATTTAATTAAGTAGAACGTGTTGTCTATTTTTTTAAAGTTGCGCATTTTGATGTGACGTCACATTTCTCAACCCCCCCCCTCCTCGTCACACATCGTCACAAATCGTCACAAATGTCTGACCCCCCCCCCCCCCCTCTAGGTGCGTGACGTCATTTATGGACTTCCCCTTAGTGCCGTGGCCGGGAATCGATCTCGAGTTCACAGGATTGGCAGTGTGTGCGGAGCTGGAATGACTGTGCCAACCACTATACATTTTACACACACAAACACACAGGTCGACGGATGAACATATACGTGCATCGTCAAATAGACTTACAGTATTTAAATCTTGTTTAAACATGCTGTCCTCTCTTCTCCGTATTACACAGGTTGTTTGGCCATCTTTGTAGGCAAACTAGGAACACATTTATATGCACGCAATGGCGGAGCCAGGATTTTCAGGTGGGGGGGAGGGGGGGGGCAACCCCTCCAGCAATGAAAGTAATATTTAAAAAACACGCTTTAATGAAATGTACCCTACTATATTCTTAGCTCTTTCGGTAAAGTCACGTTGAAGGGAAACAATAAAATAATACAATATATAAAACAATATATTTTATTATTTTATTGTTTCCCTTCAACGTGACTTTACCTAAAGAGCTAAGAATATGAATTACTGCAGTCACGAAAGCTTTAAATCAAAATGTATCGTACTAGTTAATGGCAGAACTCCACGACTCCAGGAAGTGGCCCCGAAGCTTTCCATAACGAGGTTGACCGTGGACAATTAGACCCAAACCGAAACATAACATATAAAAAAAGATTGTTTAAAATATATTTTTTATGATAGAATATATTATTGTCATCAGTTTGACATAAGTATAC